TTTTGGTAGATATAACATGGTTTCTTATTTCAGTAGTTCGCATTCGCTTGATCCAACGCTACAATTGATATTCAAATATGATCTTAGTTAATATAAATAAATAAAGTTAAAAGTTCAGTTCCATAAATATTTTAAAAATCTTACCGTATGTCCTTTAGAGTTTGTTAACTTCACTAGTTTTCCTTGATCAAGTGCTTTATAAAGGCTATCAATAAATTGTTCACCTCTAGATCTAAGCATTTCACACGCTTTCAATTTTTTTACAAGCTGCTCATTTAGTTGCATTGCTTCTTGTTTACCTTTTTCAAACTCAAGTAATCTTGCTTCAAGACACTTCAAACGCTGAACTACTAAATTAATATCCTAAATAAGTAAACAAACATTTTATTTATAAGATATAATTGAAGTCACAAACAATTATGTATTGATAAACAAATGTACTACTGTGGTAATACATTTTTCTAGTCAAGACAAACCCTCCCAATAATGAAATAATTACTTTTTCTTATTATTTTTGGAACAACTTTAACTTTAAAGATTTACTTGTAATTATATGAAGATAGTTTTACATAATATGTATTTTTTGTTTTATCTTATCTGGATATCAATATTAGATTATTGTTTTGTAATTATTTTTACTGTCATTCAGTCAAATAGGTGTAAGTTACAAATGTAATAACAATAGAAATTGTTATTGAATTCATCCCATTAAAATGTATTAATAAGTAAGGAATAAAGACCTATAAAAAATTTTAAGAGGGATTTTGTCATAAATTGCTTACAAATAAGTATTCTATTTTAAATGAATTAAACCTGCAGATATTACATGTTGTAAAATAATATTAAAATATTCTTATGATATACCATATAGTACAAGTTTTTGTTCGTGATAACTATTATAATATATTATATATATATATATACATCTAACCAACTTTTAAGGTCTTGGTCTAAGGTCTAAGCTTAGCTTAGCTCAGCTTTAACCCTAATGCGATATATACCCAATGCTTATGTTATCTTAAATTTGAACGACTTTTTAAT